ACGTGTTAATAAGTAAATGTTGTTCAAATTATGTCGTGTTTTATGTCATTTTCATCAGAAAAATCTCATCAAATGTTAAGAAAAATTTCGGAATAAAAAAAAGTTGATATTTAAATCGCTTGGTTGCCTGGACCCACGTTTCATGCTTATCTTTTATTCGCTGTCCTTGTCTACGTTCGGCAAACTACAAAGGCGGGCGCGAGGCTCGAAAACGTGGTCCCTGACTCTACGAGTGTCAGGTTTAGCTTCCTTGCGGTCTGACACTTGTGGAGAATATACTGTACTCCGCTCTGAAGTATCATTTCTGCGGTAAAATATACGAAACGTTAAAATATAAATGCGTCAAGTCAGGGTTAATCTGTTCTACATTTATTTTAAATTAAAGAACGTAGAGATACTTGTTCCTCGATTAGATAGAATTACCATTTTCTCGAATGATTATGTTATCGAGAATTGAAAATTTACGAGCACGTGAACAACTCTTCAGCCTCTTCACTTTTCTCCTCCTCCCTTTCCTAATTTTCCCTTGCACGATCCTTCGTCTTTCCGATATCAACGCCAGGATAATAATTCGGAGGACACGGATTCTTCGGCATACGTGAAATTCCACGATGTACCGGGCTCGATCTCGGCTTCTTTATCTCTTCCATGAAATAACGATTTCCCCGTCTCGTTATTATACGATCGAGTAACCTATTGCAACGGCACGCGATCAATTTCCTTCTTCTTCCACCCAGGCGATCGGAATGACACGCGTATTAGGGGCGGTCGATCGCCAGGGCCGATATTCGACGTGGTAACGAACGAGGCCGCGAACAATGTACGAATAATTTTCTAAAGCCGCCTCTAGAAAGAAGTCCCCGCGAGAACAAGCTATCATTAATTATATGCCCGTGTCCGGGCATGTTGGAATGCATATACATTAGCATAAGCCCGATACGCGAGATAGTCTGGCCTGTGTAGGTGTATACAAGCGTCTAAGGTATAAAAGCTGAACCGTAGAGAGAAGAGTTGGGGGGAGGGGGGATAAGAAAAAGGCGAAAAACGAGGGAAATGAGGAAGGAGAACGCTGTGTGTATTCGTGTGTGTGTGGTGCTCGATAAAAGTGGGGGAGAAAGAAAGGGGTAAAGAGGAAAGAAAAGTGAGCATATAAGGAAAGCGGTCCCCAGATACCACGGATGCTCTATAATCCTAGCAGATAAACGATGTAGAACGTAGCAGGCTATCGTTCCCTTTTTTCCCAAAGAGACATCGTCCAAGCAGGAGAGGCGCATAGGCGCGTGCATACGTGTATACACGAGCGTGGTTCACTGTTGCTCCCCGCTGGGCTTTCGAGCGCGTTTATCAGCCGGCCCGCTGGCTAAATCCTGCTGATAAAGCGGAAATCTTAGCCAACATTGGGATAAAAGCGTCGAATCGCGATGACTTCGCGACTTACCGTTACCGATAGGCTTAGGTTTCATTGCGAACCAAACAGGCGAAGCCGTATTTTACGGCTGTTTTGATAACTGTGCGCGCATACGCTGAATACTGTCCGCTATAAAACTACGTCGTTTCGTACAACCGTTTCCTACACCCGAACAGCCTTGTCAATTTTTTACACGTTCCTACGTCGATACGCGCGAATTACCCGCGGTACCAAGATGGCGGTGTTCTCCGTACGACGCGATCGGGATTATTTAAATCGCGGGTTGCAAACGGTGAAACGCGAGATCTCTTCGAAAATTATTTACCGTACAGGTTGATCTCTCTCTCTCTCTCCCTCTCTCTACGTGAGACCAGAGACTTGTTTCGTACACCGTAGCCACGGTGTTATTAATTGCGCCGTTACGCCAATGCACCGTGGAACTTACACGCATTAGCATACGTTCGGTATGCGGAGTAGTGGTGCGTAGGTGTATATAGACACGGTATGTAGATGTGGAAAAATGGCAGAGCTGGTGTGGCGTGGAATGAAAAAAGAAGGTAGGGAACACCGGTGGAGGGTACGAGAGTTGATGAATAACGCCTCGTACCGTAGAGAAAGAGACAGACAGGAAAGAAAGAAAGAAGGTGGAGAGGAAAAAAGGATCACGATGAGAAAAAGTTCCAACATACCACGTATCGACGACCGGTATCGTTCGTGTCCCCCCCACTTTCGTGTTCCTATTCTATCCTTTTACTACCATCCGTTCTGTCCTTTCTACCAGAGGTGTTTAACAGGGACACGCGGACAGACGACAGCTAACAATACTTAGTAGCACGTGGTAGCGTGTGCTGGAGCATGGTGTATACTAGCCCGTGGACGGCTGGCTCCCTTGGAAACTCCAATGTACTTATGTACAAAGGAACGTGGTTAAAGCGGCGCCGATAATGCGAGAACCGTGGTTGCGTAAAGATAAAGCCGGAGAGATACGCGCGGAACTCCTCGATTTAAACGTACGGACGCGAGCATCGCATCTGCGCGCGAAGGAACTTCACGCCACACGTCCAATTTGCATTATCGTCCAGTTCTCGTAACGACACCAGATAGAACAGCGTGGCGTAACAATTCCGTTTATCGCGCGGGCTCGCGACTATGCGATAAGATCGAACGCTTGTTACCGATGCGTCAGAGATGCTCGCGTTTCATTCAGCGTTTTCAAGTGTATATCTTTGGAACAGGCAATTCCGTTTATCGCGCGGGCTCGCGACTATGCGATAAGATCGAACGCTTGTTACCGATGCGTTAGAGATGCTCGCGTTTCATTCAGCGTTTTCAAGTGTATATCTTTGGAACAGGTTTTTAGTTTGGAATAGTTGTGTGATGAGTTAGGTGTTGCATATTGAGAATTCTATGATTTGGGGGTTTACTTACCGAGACAAGTGATCGCATGATCGGCAGGCGGTCGTAGGACATTTCGAGACCAGGCTGCCCTCAAGACCTCGAGGGCACAGGGTGGTCCACCGACCATTAGCACACCAGGTGACACGTGACCCTTGTACCTGAGTTGTCGGGTTGCGTCCACCAGGGCCGCGTTCCACCAGCATTTGGAGTTTGCCTCCAAGAAGCTCTGAAACGATCCACCAGGGAATTGCTTGACTAATTTTTATCAAGGTAGAGCGAGGAAGTGAAGGAGAATTAGAAACGCGAGGAGCAAGCCGTATTAGTTCCCAAATTTATTTTGTCATGGAATCCTTGTAAAAATTCCCCCCCCCCCGCCACTCTAATTCTAGTAAGACGTTACATGAGACAGAAATAGTTTCCAAAACAAATTCTTATTTGATTAAAAGGCACTCTCTCATCTCACGCTTTAAACCCACTTCGAAAATAATTTCAAGAATTCATTTAAATCCAAGCAAGGCGACAGGTATACACCTTCGTTACTCTCGTACGCTGCTTTAATAACGCATAAAAATTCAAAAATCCCTCCTACACGCGAAACAAGCTCAAAGTTGGTATAACGAGTAATGCACATACATAAAATCCTGCCACGGCTCGTATTAGTTTCAAAAGCAACGTCGTATATCCTCCGCGCGGCATTTCTTCGTAACATTACGCAACATACGGAGTACGCGAAATAAAAGTTCCGCAAATTGTCTGGCACAATGTCGTAACACTGTGATACATCTTCCATTACCCGGATGACGGTCGTAGGTGGAAGATAGAATCTTAGGATTCGTCCACTGAAATACGGTCGAGCCGCTAAGTGTTTACTGCGAAACGGGGGGGTCTGGCTGACGCTCACCCTTCTCGTAAACTCTAGGCGAAACTGTGCCACCCTCGTAGCTTTTCCCCCTACGTAGTTACGGCTCGTATATATAGGCGTAAGCCATGATGGGGGTCGAATAAGCCAGACAGTGCTCATAAACGAATGGCCCCGCAGGATTTTCACCGACTATCGCTCTCTTTTCCCCCTTTCTTCTTCTACTCGTTTGCCTGTTCACCACGTTCGATCTCTCCCTCGCGTTCTCCCGTGTGCTTCAGGGTAAACCATGAAATTAGAGAGAAGTGTCCAAATCGATTGGTCGATTCACGGAACCTGGCCATGATTCATTGCGACCTTTGTACAGTGCATTATGCTTCTGTCCCCTTTCACGATGTCCGTCTCTCTGCCGCATCCGAGATAAGAGGAGGAGTCATGTGCGGGCGTAAATCATACGGTGATTAACTCGGTAGATACAGTGGAATCGGAAATTAATCTCGTTCGGTGCGCACAATGTTGCCTAGTTTTATGTTTCTATAATGCGTTAGAAAGTTGATCTTTTCTTATGCAATGTATTATAGGCGAGATAACGTGGGACACGTTTCAGAAACGCTGTTTGAAAAATAAAAAAGAAACAAATTCCTTTTTTGGGAGAGCGCGGCGATCGAGATAACGAATAGACGTCGTTTTCGCGAGACGAAAACGGTTATTGCGACCGTTACCACTGGAATGTACAACGGTTAGAACAAATTGAAGTGGTTTTGTCGTCGTTGCTTATCCTCGCTCGTTCCTTATTTCCTCGAGCATTGATCGAAGCTGACGATGGTATCTCGAGATTTGCTCTTTCATTTTAATATATACTTTCTCGTGCAGAAATTTTCTTTTGCAACTAATTTAATTACACGTACAGATATATGTGTCTGAGAGTCTTGTACGTTTTCACATGTGTTTAAGAAACACGGGATTTGCTCGTGGTGTTCCGACGTTATCGATTTCTCCGTGAAATATTGAGCTTCTCGTTCTCCTCTCGATTCTCTCCGAAGTCGTTCATTTTTAATTAGACTTTTTCACCACATCCGGTGCCATCGATCTCACGACCAATTTGGTACGGAGCACTGACAAAACGGTTTCCCTTTCCTCTCTCATTTTTTTCTCCCTTTTTCATTCCTCTTCTCTCTCTCTCTCTACCTTCGTTTGCGCGTTCAATGCGCTCACTATGGCCAAAGAGGAGGCTCTCGATAGTAGGGTCTGGTCTTGCTGCACCTGACAGGACATTTTTCACCTCGAGTACTCGATTGAAAGCGTTCAACGAGCTCCTCCCCGAAAACCTCGCGAATTATTCGAACGTGTATCGAGCGTAATGGCACTTGTGCTCTCGAGGCGTGACACTTTGCTAACGGCCACCATTTAGATCTATGCCGGTGATAAAACATTTCGCATTCAAGCGACTGAGAAAGTTTTAGAATTTATGTTGCAATCTTTGCGAGAAAAATTATTAAATCTGCACAAGTGAAAATGTTTATTATTTCACGTGGAAAGTAAGGATAGATGCTTCGTTTCCAAGTGGAATTTCTGTCGAGGAATTTACAGTTTTGGCAAGAGTATCGGTGGTTGATCCAGGAAACGGAAAATATTCGTTGAAAACGAGTTCCCAAAAGTGAACGAGCCTGTTCCCGAAGTACGGGCACGTAGACAGGAAAGCAGTTATCCTTTATAACGTTCCTTAAAATATGTTACTTGGTCCACTGATCGTCGTCGATTCGAAATGCACAGTGTGCGATCTCGGTGATGGGAATTTCTCGTTGCTTCGGTGCACAGGCATAAAACGAGGGCTCCGCTGTGTTCCAGTTCGATCCGACAGATATAATTTGCCACGGCAGGAAGCTTGTTGTTCCATCGTTTCGGGAATAAAATTCGAGTTTCGTCTGGATACGTTGAATTTGCATACTCGGAGAACTTTCATTAGCCTTTTAACGTAGATATAAAGGACGCAATCACTTTTTCTCCTCTCCGATTCGAATATTCCGTGGTAATTTCTTCTCTGAACACGTTCTCTGGCTTCTCTTTGCTGCCAGGTACGCGTTAATATACTTACGTGTATCGGTAATTTTCTCTTGTTTCAAAAGCGTTACAAAACGCGTGAAAGGATCGCGGGCAAGCATTTCACCTTTCATTAAGACGTTACTTAACGCGGTGATTTAACAGATTTATTCGTGTCAAGGCATCCTCAGGGATGCTGTAATTCTCTCCGTTTCGATGCAGTTTCGTCTGGTGAATCGTTACCGTTCGTTTCGGCAGGTGAAACTCCCCGACGATTACGTCAAGCTGCCTTTTGCACGATTGTTTATTGGCCGGTGTCTCACGTGGACGCGTAACGTCCGCACGGAACCGCACCGTGTCGATTTCGCGAGATGTTTGAACGAGCAACG